ACTTTTTGTATTATTCACTTAATATTTAAACAATGACTATTATTCATTTTTCTTGTGTAAAAAAATAAGTAATTTTATCTCGTTGTTTAATGAAATAAATTCACACAAAAATAAATGTGTTATTCAAACGACAAGGGAAATTCTGGTTTAATGTACTTTAAAACAATGTTTTTTTTTGTGGTGTGTTTGAATAAGTTAATATTGTCAAATAAGAAGAAAAAGCATGTAAAAAATATTTAAAACTAAACATAACTTTACCTAATAAGAAAGAAGGAAATAAAATGAACTGATAATTGTAGTAAATTTTTATTGATAAAAAAGACAATGGAAGTGTGCAAAAGAAAAGTTGAAAATTATGGACAAGGAAAAATCTTATCGTATTGTGTCAGTGATGATTATAATAGGATTTATATATTAAACAATGCACAACCACATGAAGTATATGAAATTAGTTGTGAAGACCGAATAGAAGAAGGAACAAAAATCCCAGAGTCTGGAAGATTTGATGAGATTAAATCAAGAGCGTTTGCAAGTTGTTGTTTAATATGTAAAATCCGATGTGAGTGTGAATCAACTAATCATCAGTTATGTTGGTATGATAACACATTATATATACTATCAATTGTACAAGGGACAATCATTATTATTAATGGACATATGTCATATAGAATCAAAGTACCTTCTATTGATGGTACAGGAGAAATAACAATTATTAAGAATGATGTTTTTATTCAAGCACAGTCACATGTACTTGTTAAAACAACACTAGCTAATATTAAAGAAAGTATCATTAATAACAAAGATTTTGATTATACAGAAATTGATTTTAAACATGATATTGTTGGACTTCAATTAATTCATTGTAAAAATGCGTTTAGAAGAGAGGAAGTATGTAGAATATTAGGAAAGCCATATTATGGAGATAATGTTATTGCAGTTTATGGGAAATATTATCCAATTGTTTATAGGTCATTAGAGAGTTTAAATAAAAATGAGTTTATTTCAGCCGTTCCAGATACACGAAATATTGAACACTTTTGTGCCAATCCATTTAATGAAAAATATGTTTTATTATCTGATTCATATGGTAGAATTTTAGTTTTTGACTCTATCAATAGATTTATTGTAAAAACTATTCCTGCAATGAGAGAAGCACGGATGTGTTGGATAGATGAGAAGAAATTTGTCATTTATTCCAAGTTCAGGAATATTTTAGAAATACATAATTGTCAAGAACAAAAAAGAATATCATTTATTGAATTTAATGAACAAGACAATGTCTCTATTCTTGGTTTTAGAGTCAATAGGGTTGTTGTCTTTTTAAATAACAATGTGTATATTCTTTGTTTTTCATAATTGACATTGAATTAGTAATTATCATCTTTTATTTCATGTATTAATGAATAATTCAATTCAGTCTTATAACTACAATTCGTTTAACAATAAATTTTTGCATATCAGTAAAGAATGAATTTGGAAAAAGATAATTCAAAAAGTAGGAATAACTGTTTTTTGTTCCTTCTTTTCCAATAATTAATTTACAACACCCAGTTCCAATACTTAAAATCATTTCTTCATTATCACAAATAGAAATCATATATTCTTCATTATTAATTGGTTGTAAACATTCATAACTACCAATTGAATAATTCACCCATAAATATTGATTAGATAGATATTTTGAACATCCAAATATCCTTTCCTTTTCATCAACACAAATAATTCCCCATTTGTTTTCTTCTTTTCTTAATACTTCTTTTATATTACATTGACTTGTCTCAGTATCATAAATGATTGTTGCTTTACAATTATTCCATTCCTCCATTTTTGCAATTCCTTTTTCTATATCATTATTGGGATAGATAAAGTTGACTTGCTTTGTTATTTTGTTGGTCGAAGCATTAACAAGCTGGTTAAGAATACTTACAATTTCTAAAAGAATTTTTCTTATTGAAGCGTCAGTAACGTGATTGATGTCAGTAATGAGTTGGTTAACTTGACAAGTAACACTCATGGTTATCTTGAAATGTAAAAGAAGTATATTCATTTTTCTTTAAAAAATATGAAACTAAAAACCAAAGTCAAAACAAAAATATAAAATAAATGAAATGAATAGATAAAATGATACAAAACGCGTTCAGAATTCAAATTCAAAGAATGAATCTTGATATACAGGACTTTGTTTTATGCAAGTATTTAATTCATAATCAAATGTATTATCATCATCAATTATTGGTGAATCACTAGGAAGAGGAGAAAATACACGTTGAGGAAATCTTGGTGAAAATGGAGATTCATTACATTGACTTATACTTCCTAATGAAATTGGAGTTTGTTCATTTATAGAACTTGTTGATGAATTTAATAATGAGATATCACATTTGATTGTAGCAATAGGTTTGATTACTTGCATAATAAAAAGAGGTGAAATAATTAATATGGAGTTCCTTTAAATATGAGTATCTTCTTCTATTTTAAACTTATTGGCTTTGTTTCTTTTTACTTTATAACAAAATGATTACAAACTGAAGGTCGTTTTTCGAACTATCATAATCTTTTCCCGATAATTTCCTTTTGGGACCATAACAAAAAATTCTAATTCTTCATGGAAGTCTTGTTTTTTCAAGTTTTGTATTTTTCTGTGTAACCTTCTTCAACTTCGAAGATTCGACTTCAATAAAAATGGAACACTCATTCAAAAGAATAAAGATTTTTCTTTCTTTCATTGTATTTTAAGTATAATATAATACTAGTAAATATTATTATTAAAATGACTAGGCTTTGAAATAAAGTAGTAATGCGAACAAATTTCTTAAATATACACTACTTCTTCTTGTTTCATTAAAACAAATTATATAAATCTTATTCAACTCATTCAAGACAACTGTAATGACGTCATGTATCAATAAGTAGATTGTTCATTATTATAATTAAATAAGTTTTCGTTGTTTTTTTAAACCTCAAGGAATTTCGATGAATTGATTTTTGTTATATACTTATTTTGTTATTTGAAAAAAGAAAAACATAAAATTAAAAACTCAAAAATCTGACATAAATTAAAAACACGAAGAATGAACAAGATGGATGAACGTTTATTTATCACTGATGAAGAGTTACTTGCAGATGCACAAAATATCAGTATTGAATTAAACCAAATATGGGAAACTCTTCCATTTTATCTTGATGAGGATAAACCTTTACATGGTACTAATGTTCCTCATGACCCTGAATTATTTAAACAATTCATCCGTATTCCACAAAATCTTCTTCCAAGTGAATTACAAGGAGATGCAATCAACCACCCACCAAAACGATTCCAAATTCAAGTACCTTCAATGTCAAATGGAACTAATCTTATTGATAAGAAAGAAACAAAGAAATTAATTGCTGAAGAACATTTAGGAGAAGTATTTGATGAAGAGGATGATGAAGGTGATGATGATTATGATGCAAATAAATTTGAAGATTATGACCAAGAAGATATGAGTGAAGAAGGACATTCAGAAGATTAAGATGATGAATGTGTATTCAATAAATTTGATTGTATTGAAGAAGAATAAAACAAACTAGGTTATTTTTAATATATAAATAATAATGTAACAAATAAATAAGTTAAATATGATTTGTTTTTTTT